CCTCCTGAGTGGGCTCCTCCTCCTTGGACGCCTCCATTGGATGAGTCTCGTCCTTGAGATCGGTCTCGTGAGGAGTGGTGTCATCCTTCACGTCGACTTCGTCCTTGGTAGCAGCAACTTCAGGGGCATCCTCAGTGACATCCTCTTGGGTTGTCTGCTGAGTATATTCCTCAGGGGTTGTCTGTTGGGTGATCTCTTCCTGGGTAGTCTGTTGAGTGACCTCATCGTCGGTTTGGGTATCTTGGTAAGCGGTTTCCTCCTGGGTGGCCTTGTCTCTGGTATCGTCCTCGTGGGCAGGCTCTTCCGAAGTCTCCTTGGTGGCCTTCTCTTCGGTGGCCTTTTCCGGACTGGCGTCTTCGTGAACAGTCTCCTCCTCAGCAGGCTTCTCTTCCGAAGGCTGTTCGTCGGTGGTCTTCAAGGTGTCCTCCTGAACTTTAGCCTCATGAGTGAGGGGCGCAGAGTCCTCCTTCTCCACTTCCGCCAGAGAGGCCTCATCCTTCGATACGGTCTCATTTTCTGGAAGGTGGTCTTCACTCTCGTTCACCTCCTCCTTAGACTCGGCGGTCTCTTGCAAGTCGGATTCCTTGGCAAGAGTATCCTCCTTCAGGGTTGTCTCAGCCTCGGAGGTGGTCTCAGCCTCGGGAGCAGCGGAAACAGCCTCCTCAGCTGGAGCGGCTTCCTCTCGTGTCTCGACTTGCGAGGTGCTCTCCTCCTGAACATCAGTCTTCTCAACGGGCAATTCCGCGTCGACCTCAGCTTCCTTCTTGTGCGCAGCGTCTACAATGGTAGTCTCCTCGGGCTTAGACTCTTCCTTTTCAACGGCAGGCTCGGCAGAGGTTTCCTCCTCTGTGGCAAGGGACTCCTTGGGCGCCGACTCGGCCTCTGGAGCAGTCTCGTGGGCGGGGACCTCCTCCGTCGGGACCGCCTCATGCTGTTGAGAGTCCTCGAGCTTCGAGCTGGTCTCCTCAACATCGGTTGCTGTCTTGACCTTGGTCTCCTCTGGGGTGGCCTCCTCCTCCTTGGAAGGTGTCTCAGTGGATGAAGTTTCAACGGGCGCAACGTTGCTCTCCGTGGAATCTTTTGTCTTGGTCTTGTCCTCTTGCTCTGAGAGAGCTTCATCCTTCAAGGTAGCCTCAGTAGTTGAAGGGACTTCAGCCTTGGTTTCAGTGTGAGCCTCCGACGTGGTCTCGTCTTTTGCCGCAGTGTCGTCCTTCACGGCAACATCATCACTGGAGGAAGTATCCTTTGCGGCAGAGATGTCGACAGTGGTTTCCTCTTCAACCTTGAGAACAACATCGTGCGGCGGGTCATTGTTTGTCTCGGAGACCACGGTAACCTTTGTAGCAGTGTCGGTTTCTTGGGGAGCTTCAACCTCGGGAGCAGTCTCCACCTTCAAAGCTTCCTTGATCTCCGAAGCATCCGCATGATGTTGGGTAGTTCCATTTGTCTGAGGCGCATTCTCCTCTGAGGTCGCCTCGTCCGTGGGGAGGTCGGGCTTGGGTTCCTCCCTAGATACGGTTTACAGGTTAGTAGCTGATGCTGACGACCAAGAACATGATGGTCTTCCACTTACTTTGGCGGGTGTTGGAACTCCAACTCGTTGTTTCTGAAACCAGAACTGTCCGTGACGGTAGGCGCGCCTTCGTCAAGGACCCACCAATCGCCCAAGCCGATGCGGAACTTGTAGACCACCTTGGATCCGGGTTCGCCCGAGATTTCCTTGGTGAAGACATGCTCTCCGTCAGCACCAGTGGTGCAGACCATCTCCTGGGGTTGCCATTCTGGCTCAGAGAAAGAACCAGCAATGAAGAGTGGCGGCTGAGTGCCGGGTGACCGGAATGTAATGGTCGTAGACACCTTGGTGGAAGCCATGGTTTAGACTTGTTGGTTTCGGTAGATAGAAAGTGTGGGGAGTTGAAGTGTAAGATGAGACTATTGGGTCATTGGCCCGGACGCCCAAATGCTGTGCACCGATGAAAAAATAAAGTGATAGCTCGTGAAAGAGCGCTCTAGGGTAGCTTTGTAGGTTGGCGGTGATGCGACGTTAGCTGCTGGTTCGTAGCTTGAGTCGCACAGGCAGCTGCTCGAATCACGGTGATCAGTAACGCGCGTCTAGTTATTGTGCTTGTCGCGTTCTAGGCTCTTGATCGCTTACGGCAACCATGTAGACAAGCGAAGTCAAGGAGTGGATCTTGAACAGTGGAGAGAGAGTGGTGAGGGGAATGGATTGGAAGCGAAGGTGGCCGCAACACACTCGGAAGAACAGAAGCTCGAACGAAGCTCTCTCCCTCCTCCATGTTGGTTGCTTAGGTGGGCTGGTGATTGACGGGATGTGCTTGTGTGCTGGAGTGAGGTGCGGGGTTTGGGGTTCTGGGTACCTTGAGTTAACTTGGTTGTCTCTCTTCAGAGTGTCTGTCGTAAGCTCAGCCTCGACCAGAAATTGTGACGGCTAGAAAAGCAAAGAGTCAGATACAGCGAGCGATACGCGACGGCAAGACGATGGCAGCGTCGAGCAGTGGTTTGCAGAAAGATGTGGGATGGATGTTTGCCAGCGAAATTGTGCAGGTCGAGCAGCTGCTGCTGGTTGGGAAAAATGGAGGGGGTGAAGAAATCGGACGGACAACTCACCACTGGAGCCGATCTCGAGGCAGTCGGGGTTATTTAGGCAGGCAGACCGGATCCAAGATAAGGGCCTGAATTTCTTGGGTGGTATTGGTTGTGGATAGGAGGAATGGAAACCGTTGTTTTGTATGGATACTTACCTACCTAGTGGTGTGTGTGTGCTGTGCTCGACTGCGAGGTGCGGTGCGTGCTTGGATGCAGGAAGTGGTGCAGTCTTTTGGTGCAGTGGTGGTGGTGGTGTTCAAGTGCAGTGCCCTACTGTGAAGCCCCTCACTCGCAGCCCAGGATCATGACACGCGGGGAATCAGATGGAAATGCCCGGCCTGGTCGAGGCAGGTGGATGGGGGACCTTGGGAGGCAGAGTTGGGCTGCAAACTAACCAGAGAAGTGGAAATTGCCCTCTTCAAGTCTGTTTTGTTTTACCTCATACGAGTCTGTGATATGGCTCATGGCCCGGGATGGTTTTCAGTCACTTGTTTATCCTCAAGGTAGGAACTAACTGTCGCAGGGGTGCAACCTACTATCACGCGATTCATCTACGAAAATAGCAGCATCCCATGGATTCGATGGTTGTTTATCAACTAACCTCTACCGTAGAAACTCGCGCAATTGGCAAAACCAAATCCCTCTTTGAGCGCCCGACAGGAAGCACAGGAAGCAGCATACTCCTTCCTGTACATATGTCCGCTCAGTTAGTGAAGGCTCTAAAAAACTAGCCAACACTATCCTGCCTGCGTTCCAAAGTACAGGCTCGGACTCGAGCACTACAGATCATGCTGTACTATGCCCCAAAAACCTCTTTTTGTGGCATTTTGGTTTTGCCAATTGCGCGAGTTTCTATGGTACCTACCTCTATCACGAACAGACGGGAGGGAATGGAGGTTCCCGCCTTGACCGGTGCAGACAAGGGAAGGCGGCTAGGTAGGTGGCTGTACTATGCAGTAGGTACCTAGGTAAACGGAAATACGGCAGTGGCAGCTTCATAGATCACTAGACATATAGTACATACTGCACTGCTAGCGCCGCGCCGTACAACTGTCCCGAAGTGCAGATCCAGAAAGAGGAATGAAAAGAAAAACATACAACCACCTTCCCGTCGTCGGTCTCTTGTCAACGGTTCATCGTCGTCCCCAAATCATGCACTACGTACTGGCAGCTCACAGCATTAATGTCGTAATCAAGACCGCAACCGTCCTGACATGGATGTGTGCCCTGCTTCAGCTGCATTATACGTCCCGATACAGAGGTACCCTTGCTTCCAGTTGTGAACGCTGCCACCAAATTTAAACGAACTGAAAGCGCGAAGCTGCAGCCTTTTTGCAGTGTAACGTGTGTAGTGTACCTACTACACACAGCACAACCTTCCTATCCTCGGGCTTGCGGTTCAAGGTGGCAAGTGGTGGTGCCACAATATTCACGCGAACGAGGACGGGTAAGGTCAGAAACACCTACCGAATTGCAATTGGTTTGCACCTGACTCTTTGCACGTCGGGGCGATTGATAGGCTGATGAAATTCTTGGTTGAAGGGCACACCGCAAGATGGCTTTCAAAACTATCTTCAACAACCTCAAATTTTTAGCTGCACTCGAGCCGCACTGCCGCACAGATTCCTTGCCTGCAGCTCTTCACGTCTTGTGATTTGCCGAATGGTGATGCAGAAATGCAAAGAAAGACGCTATGAAAAGTCCAGATGCTCAACTGACAAAAGCAAGAGCTCTTGGCTTGTCACAACGTCAACCGCGGTACCGGGCGCTAAACGCACGGGCTCTCGAGGTGCAGATCCCCCGCATTGAAGGTGGATCCGACCTTTGCCTGGCTGGCGTCATGGACCTCACCTTAAGTGGTCGACTTAGGCATATAGGGCGGTGAGTGCTGGCGCAAAGCGTTGTGCCTTTGATGACCGCCTTTGATGTGACGCCTCCTCGGTTCACATGCCACCCTTGCTTATCGCAGTGAGGTTGTTCACTGATAAGAACCATAATTCTGATCGAATCTCAAGCCTTCACCAGGACTCGGCATCAAGGTCCACGGACGCAGAGGACCCCATCATTAGGTATTTTCCAACTGCCAATTCACGTACAAGTGGATTGCCTTTCCTAACCTTTCCATTCCTACGACCAGTACTTATCAACTTCGCAACCAGATCGTCTGACAAATCAACAACCACCCGGCGACGAACATTTCGAAAATATCCAACCACCCCAATTCGAAAAATCGAATTGCTCGCCAATTCCGAAAACCAAACAACAAATCAACTTACCCAAAATCACCTACTGGATTCATCACTTACCTTGCCGTGGTCCATTCGCAACGACATCGACGGCGCACTCAACAACCACCACCCAACAATTGACTTGTAACCACGCTTTTGGTCGACATGTCGGTTTTCCTACCCCCCGAGACCATCACGGTCAAGCGGCGCAAGCGTGGCGCCGAAGATGCGCCTGTCGACTTCCTGAGTTAGCCGTCTCTGACAAGTTCTTGACAATTCCTGGTTGCAATGCTAACAATTGGAATCAGGGGTCGAGGGCAGCAAGCGTTCGCGAAATGGAGAAGGCAGCTGGGTGTACCGGCTCAAACAAGCCACGGACATCGTAGCCCCGCAGCCAACCGTACCGACCATTCAGACAACGAAAGAAGGCGATGAGAAGAGGCGCATCATCAAGCCTCTTCCCCGTCCGAGATCGCAAAGGATGACACCCCAGCCCGGCGCCTCGCCAATCATCGAGCCAACATCTACGTCCCAGACAACCAAAGCGACCGAGCCTACTCTTCGACGATTCCACCTCTCCAAAACCATTGTATCGCAAGCCTCAACATCAGGGCCCGTCTCCAAGAAGCGCGCCAGCACCGTCATCTTCGTCGAGCGCAATTCGAAGCGAAAGTCTCTCCACGAGAACCAGACTCTTGAGCAGTCGAGATCAGTGAACGCCCACAATGGCCCTGCCGCTGTTCAGCCCAAGCCGTCGACCGGCTACACCTACCAGGAGCCTCCTCCAGCCGATCCCAATGACACCGGGGTGAAGCGATCATACAAGCGACCCGGTACGAGACGCTTTCAGCCCTCGGCCGAGTCGAAGCCTGGATCAACCCACCCTGCTCTCCCCCCCTCGCTGGTCAATCGCAATGTCAACGTCGACATGGATCAGCTCGCCCAGGAAATGGACGCCTACACACTCAGCGCAATCACTAGCCATCTGAGCAAGTTGGATGAGGCAAGTGCCAAGGCTGCGGAGAGGAAAGCCAAGTTCAAGCCCAAGGCTCCCGCGCTGAGATACGCACAACGACACCCGGAGGCTGCGGCTGCGGCTGCTCGCACTAAGGAGGTGGCCCCTCAGGCTACTGCTGCTGCTGCTGCGGCGCCAATGGACGATGATATGGACATTGAGATGCTCGACACCTCCGACGATGACGACTACGTCGTTGAGGAATACTACCGCGTGCCCGCCAGCCGGCTCAACGAGGAAGAGGTGGCGGCCACCCAGGTCGGTCTGTTGGTGTTCGATTCCGAGCCCGACAAGATTGACTTCTTCTTTGGTGCGGAGGAGGATGACGAGTTTGAGTTTCCGGAGGATGAAGACGATGAGAACCGTATGTTATGCTTTTTCCTCCTTCCCTGCTTTCCCCCCCTCTCTCTCTGTTCGGTAAAGGAAACTAACACCAACCACAAACAGACGAAAACTACTACGCAGCCGACTATCCCGACGAAGATCTCGAATGGGACGACGAACTTGACCGCAACCCGTACGAGTACGTGACAGGTAACGCCTCCGACAGGGAGGAGTTTGATGCGGAGCTGGATGACAACGATGACGATGACTTTGTCAACGCAGACGAGAGGTTCATGGATCATGTCTGGCAGACGAGTAATGAGATGGCGGATATGGTTGCATATGCGAGAGGGTACGACGGTGATAGACCGGAGCCTGCGGTGGCTGGGTTCCCGAGGGGGTTTCCTTATGAATAGGATTGATAGGGATAATGGCTCTTGGGGAGTTGGGCAGTGGGTTAAGGACACCGGGGTAGAGGGGAGAGCGGAGGTGGGACATAAATTGGCAGTCATCGCTATGAGCATGTATACCTGCTGATGTGGATTACATGATTATAGGTAGTTATTATACCCCATAGTCTCAAGGACCGTCGCACAACAAGACGGACTGGGCTGGGTGGTAGTCGTGTCATGAAAGCACAGCACAGCGCAGCAAAGTAGATAGAGTCTGCTTCTTCAAAGCTCTCTTCCTATTACTTTAAAGTTATGGTACAGAGTACTTCCTTTGCTCTGACTTTGGATCTGATGTGAAGTGATTATGTGCATTGATCAACAAAGAGTGTTTAAATGGAACAGGACGAATGCCTTTGAGTAAAATTTCAGAGACATGGAATAACTTTGAGTACGAATGTCCTGAATGGAAACCGATAAAACTTGTCAAATAACTACAAGAATAGCATTCGAAGTTTAATCTCTACAATCCCTTCTTTCGCTATGGGCTCTTTGGCACTTGGTCTACAATTCCCCGAGTTGTCTTTTTTTTCTTTCTTCTTGGTCATATTAACACAGTCCACTCACGCAGAAGAGTTAAGACAATATCTTCATGTAAAAGCTAAAGAGCAAAAAAAAAAAAAAGATATTAAGCGCAAGTGTAGCGTAGGTAGCTTGACAAGACATGCTCACAATAAGAAGAATCTTGATAAGAAGAAGAAGAAACTAACAAACAAAAACGCCATCTTTTCTAACAACCCAAAATACTTGATGTCTTCAAGGTTGATGATATGCAATATGGATATGATGATGATAAAGTGTGAAGTTTCGGTATCATGAACAATGAAGAAAAGAACAACCGCCACCAACCGCTCTTCTCCCTCGTTCTTTCCCCCCACCCCCGAATATCTCTGCTGGCAACACACGCTCAAAACACTCGCTCACAACCATATGACTCGAGTCCCCAGTCGTAACAGAATTGCTTTTCCATACGTTCATGCCACTTTTCCTTCTCTCCTCCCACTTCCGATTTCCATTTTTTTCCCCTTTCCCATCTCGTCAACCCGCACACAGAAAGTTGCCTTCTTCCAGACCACTAGTCATCCGCCATGGCACACCAAGGATGCGCCAAAACCTCCTCGATCGTCGACCGCTGCGAGACATCGCGATCGAGCATCTTCCGAATCAAGTCAATACTCTCGTCGCTAATGACGTAGGGAACGCGCAGGTCGCGGTCCATGATCTCATCGATGCTGTAAAAGGGGTTCTCCTTGTAGATAATGGTATACAGCAAGATACCGAGGGCCCAGACATCCTGTTCCTTGCCGCCGTAGGGCTTGCCAGCGAGGACTTCGGGGGCAGCGTAATCTTGAAGTGGGTAGGGTTCAGTTAGTTTTATCAAGGACGCCTCGATTGGAAAAGATGAGAAGACAATGACTTACCAATTGTACCCACAAACACATCAAAGGGTCCGCTCTTGATGTACGCCGCACTTCCAAAGTCAATCAGCTTGATCCGGCCCTCCCCGTCCAGGATGACGTTCTCATCCTTGATGTCGCGGTGGACGACGAGTGCCTTGGTGTGCAGATGGTGGATGGCGCGTGCAACCTGTACGAAAATGCTGCGACTCTCTTGCTCGTCCATGTTGGTGCGAAGCTCAATATAGTCGAAAAGATCCATGCCGGGCAGGCCATGCGGTACCATCTCGATGTAGTAGTTGACGCTGTCCTCGAAGAAGTCCTCCATCTCAACGATATTGGGATGCCTAAATCCTTCCCTCCGCAGGAAATCGAGAACGTGGATTTCCAGAGGCACGGTGCCGAGTCTCCTGTCGCGTGTCCAGGTGTCGACGAGAATGCGTTTCTTGGTGACGTACTTCAGCACGCACTTCTTGCCGCTGTTCTTGTACCGAGCTAGCTTCACCTGACCATACGCACCCTGGCCCATGTCTTCCAGAATGACAAAGTCGTCGATTGTTTTCTTCTTTGGAATCTCCACCGTCTTGGGCGTCTGAATGTCTTCCGTCTTGGGCTCGGCGGCCTTTGGTGTGCCCGTGAGCTTGGCGGCAGCTGTCATGGCGACTTCCTTGAGCTGGCGGGTGATGAGAGAGGTTGTGGATTCCCTTCGCTGACTTGGAGTTTCGCATTCTGATTCTGAGCTGGAGTCAGAATCCATTTTCGGAGGGGTGTGGGCGGGGGTCTGTCCAGGTGAAGGTTGATGCAGTGGAGTTGCTGTTCCAGATAACAAGGGCGATGCAAAACCAGGATTACTTTTGGTTGCGTGAAGGTGCCGTGAATATGTGATCCACAGAGCATAAACAAGTTCGGACTGAGAGACGGTGAAACTGTCCGTCATGTCCGCACCGGACACTGATTCTTCATCCTCGCTTTCTTCGGCGATTGCTTGATTCGATATCTGTGTTTGCTTTTCGCTCTTAACAACCCGCATTTGGATATCGATCTTGAGCTCAGACCCATCACGATGCTTCGCAGGCAGGCCTTCGGGGCGCAATAGACTTGTTGCAGCATCCGGGCGTCCTTCTTTCAATGCGAGGAACGCTGCAGCCTTTCGGAAGGAGTGTTCGGGTATGACGATACCGTCTACCAGGTCAATGCCGTCTTCGTCTTTCAGAATGCGTATCACACCTGCAAAGTCCGGAACGAGATGACTGATAGGCAACCCATCGGGCTTTTCGTGGCCGAAGAGTGCACCGCAGAAGACCGAATTAGAGCTCTTGATGGTAAAGGTCTGAGGACAGACAACCACAATACCGGCGATATGCGGGAAACTTGCTACTCGCAGTTCGGACTGACCCCTGACTTGGTCGATTGTTGCTGGAATATTGATTCGGTCAGAGTTGCGGCAAGTATAGTATCTTCGCTTCGCAATCTGTGCGTAATCGATCTCTCCAGTACGTGGGTCAAACCCTTGACGGGGAATGCGAGGTATTAGTTTGCCAACATCCATGCCAGGCTTCAAGTTCTCATCGCCCCAAATTGGACCGAGAGCTCCAGAAAGCTTGAGGACGACACCCTCCTCATCCAGCGTCAGATACGCAACGTCCTCATGGATCTCTTCAAGGACCCAAATGAGACCGACTTTTTTCTCCTTGACCCAAAGGCTGGCCGATCCCGTCGCGCCATTGCGTTTCTGTACATCTGGTTAGTGCTAAACTTCAGGTAACTTTGCATAATGCCAGAACTCACCTGGATTGGAACCACGTCGCCGCAAAGCAGTACGCCTCTTGATTGGGTAGCAGGGTGGTGTCCTTGTCCTGGCTTTGGTGGTTTCGGGTCGCCGTTATGAATCGTCGCTGCTCTCCTACCGGCGTTGCTTTTTGGGGGTTGGTTTCGGGAGTTTGGCTTGCTCAGAAGCTTTGCGGTTATTCCTCCGCCACGAGATCCTAGGATACTTGACATGGGCGGATTTGAGACTGGCTTAGCAATCTCACTCTCCGATCCGTCACCGGCATCGTCGGATGATCCCTGGAGCAGCTTTCGTTCCAGCCATGCCCTCCTTTCCTCCTGTACAACTTCCAGAATTCCCATCTTCCTAACTTCGGCCTTGGTGACTCCAAACAGAAGGCATGCAAGATCGTTGGCAGCGAGAATCGTCCAAGGGGGCTTTGATTCTGTAGTAAAGATGGCCTGGGCAGCGGGTGCCCACCTTGTTGAGTGACCATGGACGGCGGATGAAACTGCAGGTGGCTGACTCGAAACGCTCGAGAATGACTGTCGGGCAGGGGAAGGCAGGTGGTCTTGTGGGCCAGAGTCAACGGCCAGAAAAGGTGTCGCCATGACATCCATGAGCTTCTGCTGCATCTGCGCATGCTCCGTATCAGTCATGGTTCGCTTCAAGAAGCCTGGACGCAGAGAGGTTGAGGGCGATGTCTGCGCAGTAGTACCGCTCTCGTTGGTCGTACTCCTGGATGAGTGTTCGGAGTCGTTGCCGAGGCTGAACTTTGCTGGTCGAGATGTGTCGGTTTCCTTTTGGGGTTTTGTCGCTCCAATGGTCTTCTGAGAGGCCGGTGATTCTGGCGCTATACTTTCGTCGTCCTCGAGTGGCTCTGGACTTGCGCTCCTGGGTACCATAAACTGTTTGTCGAATATATTTTCTCCTGACAGCTCGGCCGGTCCGGTAAGAGGCCCCGTAGACAAAGTGACATCACCATTAGGGAGACTCCCAGCTCCCACCAACTGTGCCCGTGCCAACAAGTCCAACACGTTTTGAGTCTCAACGTCGCCTGATATCCGTGCTTGCACACTCGCAAGAGCCACGTTGGCGGTATTAGATGCCACTGACCAACCCATCCGATCCTTCATAAACTCGATAGACCTCTTTAAGACGTTCTGGCGGTTGTGAATCAAGTCTTCCGACTGGTGGGCGAAGGAGAAGGAGTGAAGGGATTCGGAGGGAAAGCGGCTGAGGTCTTCGGTGAAGGCTATGCTTGGCGAATTGGGGACCGATGATAAGGGTATCGAGTTGCTGTGCACATCCAGCATAGTTGTGAGGGAGGCAGATCTGGTAATGGCCGACCCAAAGGAAGGTTTCCGACTGCCGGGTGCTGATGGCAGAGTGCCGGTACGGAGGGGAAGTGGTTGCTGTCGGATGCGTCGCAAACCGGAGAGGCCCAGACCGTGGTCGTGGTCGGTCATGACAGAACTTCTAAGGAAGGGAGAGGAAGTCAGCAACTAGGCTTGCAGGATGCGAGATATAGACGGGCGGTGGGGGGCCGAGTCAGATTGTGCGACTGTGCATCCGCAAACCGGTGAATGTGAGACAAGCAGAAGGGCTTCCAGGTCCGGAGCAGCCTTGCGGCCTTGGGAACCTTATGTTGACTCCCTTGCAACCATGTAGTAAACATTTGCTAACCTTGCCATGGCATCGTACTCAACGGCAGCCGGGCCGGCATCGAAGGAGAAGCGTAGACGCGCCTTTTCGGAACTGTCATTTGTTACGCTAAGGTTCCCGGTACTCTTGTTCTTGGG